AAATGCTTCTTTCTGTGGAAAATAATTTAACTGGAGGATGCATGTGGCACGGAAGCTTCCAGATGCCTATTCAAAGAAAACCAACTTCTGCCTCAGGGAAGTAACACTCAATACTTAGAAAAGGATTCATCTTATAGCTGAGGTCTTTTGGGCACGGTCCCAAAAAAAACAAGATCCTGGCTTCAGCAAAAGGCTCAGCTGCTCCCACACACAAAGCAATCACATATTCAGATGCCAGGTAAAAATCCAAACAGTGGTAACTGCTTTACCCGTGCTTCAGCGATCATCTTCCACACCAGTTTTCACTCACCTCTGCTTCAAAGACACCTGCTTCTGAACTGATTTGCTACACTTCGAACCCAGAACACTTTCAGCCTCCTTGTTCCCACCCCCCCCAATCATTCCCCTAACAGACTGATTTAATTTGGGAACTTCAAAGAATAAAAGCCTTTATCACAGACACTGGTTTTATCAAGTCCAATAATAAAAGGAGAAGTTTCATTTTGGACCTGATTCAAATCCCGCTGAAGCCAAAAGAAATCTCTCAACAAGCTTCACTGGCTCTTGTTATTTCGAAAACATTATCCCTCAAAAACAGCTAAATGTGATACAATTAATCAATGTACTTGTATTCTCAGTACCTAAAGCTGCAGCTAGTCAAACCCATCTTAGACTTCCAGCAATATCATTTAAGAGCGCTTCATCCAACAGCATTTACTCCACTGGATGACAAGCATGCAGAGTTCCTAAACACCCTGGTAAGAATCCAGTAGCATTTTTACAACCTTTGTAAGGAAGAAATTAAGTATCTGGTACATCAACATCTACCTAGATTTTCTCTGCACAATTTCAGTTGTCTGAATCCTTTCAAAAGCCTGGCTTTCAGCATTTATCCCAGTAACTTCAAATAAATCTGGGATAGTTTTACAAAGCTTAATTTCAGAATGAAGCTTTTCTCTGTCTCCCTCTCAGGTGAAATGCAGTACTTGCATTTCACACACTCGCAGAGGTCCATGCATAGGCATGTAAAAACTAGACAGCAACACACCAAAGGCTGAATGAATTTGGGAAAAACACTTTCTTTCTTGGTTATCTTACTGCTTGATTATAACCATGTTGCATCCCGGCCACCGTTGGGCAACATGAAAGGACTGTTTCTCTCAATTACTATGGCGCTCTAGATGCTTGTTTTACATTTCTAGGTTGAGAGAAGATAGCGGTATCTCTGCTGCCTACTGTTTGCTGAATTGAAGACTGATATTACTGCATTGTTTGTAACGTAATTTTCACTAGTATCAGATCAAGGGGAAAAAAATGTGTCTATGCAAGCTTCAACACTGTCTAAACATATCCTCAGAACCATAAAATTAACTAAAGCATTGTTAACCCTTGACAGACAACCTGTGACAAAGGGGGAAAACCTCATGAATGATTCAAGTTCAAGAGTAGGCTGCTACACCCAGAGGGCCTCAAACCTTCCAGAAGCGCAAAACAGCATCTGTAGTAATGGTATTTCCCAAAGTACAGAAAAACATGGCAATAAGAGACAAACAACAATGTGTGAAGGAAGATGTAATAAGGGAAAAAGGGGGAGAACCAGGACATTATTTAACTTTCATACAGTAGATCTCATGTGAAATCATATGTAATTTCTACACAGATTTCCCCTAATATTTTCTTTTCCTGTCTTAACGACAGGTCTTTAGTTAGCCATTTTCCTGTTCTCTGACAGGTGAAAGAAGCTTGCATAATCTGCCAACTGAAACTGTGCAGGCAAAGCTTTCTATTCACCTGGATCCTGATGGAGAAACGTGACTGCAATTTGACTTTATGATCACGTAAAAAGCAAATCAGCAGTAATGAAATCCAGAAACAACACTGTATTCTGACAAAGATGTCAGAAATTTTGCAGACATAACACACAATCAGTATACTAGTCTCTGCTTGCAACTCCAAAGCTTCTGGCAAGCAAGCCCTGTCTCAGCAACCTCTACCTCTGATTCCCTTCCAGCCTAGAACTGGTTAATCATCCTTCCCTGTTCCTATTATTTATGCTACAACAGAAACCTCAAGCCAGGTCAGCTCATTTGCAACAAGCAGAAAATGACTTCTGTGTTAAGCTCTTCAAGGCAGACTATAACGAGACAGACAGAAGGGCTGAAGGTGAAAGCAGAGGCGCAGAACTAGGAAGATGAAGTTCAAAACAAAGAGCAGACTGCTATCAGGTGGACAGCTCTGCTCAGTTTCTAATGCTCAGTTCATGTTCCTTTTCAGGAAATCCACTACAGACATTGTCTTTCCCTCACATAATCAAAGAGGGGTCTTTATAGCATCTTTGTCCTTGCCACTGTACACAGTTATTCTTATTTGTTTCCATTTCCTCTTTTTCTGACCTTACCTTGACACTACCACATCTCTACTCTGAGGAACCGGAGGAGGAAAGGGGAAAAAAGGCAAGAAAACGAAATGAGTCAGCAGTTTCTGAGAAGCACAGGAGCATTAGTCAGAGGCGAGCAGGGTAAGCTCATTCACGTCTCGCTGTGACAATTAAGACCACCGAAGAACAGACTGCTGGATGCACTTTCCCAACCCCCTGAAACTGCACAGCTGCGGAAATCCAGCCCCCAGCAGAAGCAAAACACATTTTCAGCTGCCCAGTACCACTGCTGAAATGAAATGAGTGTACAGGTACCGCTCTCCAGTCACCTTCCCAGTCTTCTTACAGACAATCCCATTGCATCCCACTAAGCCAATCAAGCACACCTGAGGAAATAGCTGCCCTGCATAAAGTTCTCTCTAATTAGGGAGGTCCACAGCTTCAAAAGCATTTGCTGACTAGAGCACAAGTAGAGCACACTAAAATGCATTGTTGCTTTCTTGTTCCTCTTCTCCCTTATCAAGAGGTACCAGCAGCAGCAGCAATGCAATTGGTTAGGGAAGCGTTCTTCTACATCAAGCAGCAGATGTCTGACTTATTAAAATTTAAGACCAAATTATTAACACAAGTTCTAAGGGCCGCAGGCACACATGTGCAGCGCAAGAATGCCATTTGCTAACCTCAGCCCAGACATAACGGTGCCTTCCTGGGTTGAAGAGATTTCCATGAGCACTCTTCACAGCCTTCATCCTCCAGCAATAAAATCAGGGTTTAGAAAAGGGAACAAGAAACCACCTCTTTTCAGCAGGGCAGCACACAGCCATAGGGTTCTCACCCACCACCTGCACAAGAACCCTTCTCCTTTATGGTACAGTAAGTACATGCAACTGCAACTGATACACAACCATCGCTCCAGGAAAGCACACTTCCCTCCAGAGAGATGCTGAACACAGCTCCACCGCCTCATGATTTTGTCTGGACAGAGTAAAACAACTGCCCACCAAACTGACATCCACTGGGGCTCAGGATCCACAGGCCATTACTGTACTCTAGGCACAGTGCTGTTTGCTTTTCTGTGACTCTAGGCAAGGACTGACCTCTATGCAGTTTCTTCACTCCGAAATACAACACTTGAAGCTTCTTGTGAAGCACTAACTAAAGCCTCATACCTAAATGCCTACCACCGATACAACCAAACTTTGCTTAAGAGCAATCTTTATCCACCAGCAGCTCACAATGCCTCCTCTGTTCATTGCAGGCATATATTCTGATATCTTCTTCCACGTGAATCCTGGCCCTCTGTCTTCCATAACATGCTGTTAAAGTTTCATTTTTAGATACAGCTTTTTCAGGCACTGTTACGCAGAACATTAATAGGAAAAAGCAAAGCTATGCATTATATTTATACGAATTTCTAAAATGAACCGAACTGTATTTTCATCTATAAGACAGCAGAAAGTAGTTGGAAAAACACAGCGTTAGACCAGGCTCAAACACCTAGAGAAAGTTGCTGGGCAGTAAATGACAGCAAACATTTCCAGCACACCAGCTACCCTAGTGACCGACGTGGTCAGTATTTATACAAAGGCAGTCCTGGCACATTGTACACAAATCCCTGCATGTTTAAAGTAATGCTGTCATTCACGTGAGAAGTGAGCTGAGAGGAAGAAAGCTGCAAACTCCTGCTTACATTGCTCCGCACCCCTACTGCTTCCCTGCTCCAGTAGCTTCAAGTCTGTTGCAACTTGCTCGCAGTGCAAAGTGATTTAAGCACGAGCCAAGGCTATGATCGCCTGGTACAACTTCCTGGGCTGGACGCATCGCTGGTTTTCAAGAAACGCTCTGGGGCTTTTTTAAGACAGAGAGGGCCGGGGAGAGGGAGTTTCTCACCTCCTCCCACCTCTTACCATGGATTTGGGGTTTTCAGGTAGCAGTAAGGTTACTGCCTAACACATATAGCTGCATAAGGAACATCATCCCTATGGCAATACCCGTAACTCTTAGCAATACATGTCAGAGACCAAAACCTGCCTATGACATTGCTCACACAGACTGTCTTTTTTTGGGGGGCTGCCTTTTCAGCAATCAGCCAGCATGCACTTGTTGCAAAAAAAAATAACACACAAAGGGTTATTTCTTAGCTAAACAATGCCCCCTTGGAGTTTTCCCCGCACCGACCGCTGTCAGCCCAAGCACGGCTCACGGCTGCCGGGCTCTCAGCCTCCCTCGGGAGAGGCCGGCACGGAGGCGAGCAGCGGCGGGGCCGCCCCGCTCCGCCACCCTGCCCACGGCCCGGCTCCTGGCTACCTGTGACCGCCACCGGCCACGCTCTCCTCCTCCTCTTCCACCTCCTCGTCCTCCTCCCCCGGCTGCTCGCAGCGCGGAGCCCCGGGGCGGGGGGGCGCGGGGCGACCCCCGGCGGAGCAAATGGCGGCCGGGGGGGGGGGGGATGAAGCGGGTGGGTCTTGGCCGCCGCCCGGCGCGCCCCGCACGCCCGCTGGTTTGGAGGAGGGGGCGACTCGGTTGGCTGTTTATTATTATTATTATCAATTTTTGGTTTTTCTCCAAACCGGCTCGACCGCACCTGAGGAGCCCTCCGGCCAGCCAGGGGAAGAGCACGTACCTGGCGCTGCTGAGCCTTGGCATGTGTGCCGCGCTGGGGGGCCGGGGCGGGAGCCGCTCCGAGCCGCTCCGAGCCGTGCCGAGCCTCCCCGCCCCGAGTGCCACTACTTTGCCCGCGCCGGGAGGCGGCCGGCTCGGGCGGGGCCGCCAGGCTCCACCCGCCGGGCGGCTCCGGGTGCCCCTCGCCTTCCCTCCCTGCCTCCCTCCCCTCCCCTCCCCTCCCCGCCGCCATGTCACTTCCTCCCGGGGCGACCCGCCGGGGGGACCGCTCCCCGCGCCCCGCTCCCCGCTCCCCCTGTGCGTGCCCCGCTGCGGGGAGGCACCGTGAGGGGGAGGCGGGCGGCAGCCATCCCGGCCCCGCTGCTCGCGGCTCGTTGCCAGGCGGCTCTCCCGAGGGGAGGACTGCCAGAGGCCGGGCTGTTCGGCACCCGGGGCATCGAGAGGGGAGCCTGCCGCGGATGGCATCTGGTGGAAGGCAGCGTTGCCGGCGCTGCGGGTCGGGCACTCACATCAGGGCTGGAGAGCTCTGGGGGAAACTGGGCTGAGCTGTCATGTCCCTGCTCCGTAACAGCCATGTGGCATCGCTGCTCACCCTTAACGTAGATTTATGTATTTTAAGTGCATAAAGCAAACACCGAACCACAGAAGTTATGCTATGGAAGAAGAAATAGGATATAAGCAAGGCTTCCTAGGCTAGTCACAGGAGCACATTCACTGTGGTATAATAGAGAAGCATCCTGACTGAAACGCCCCACGTGGGAAGCACAGGACGTGAGGAGTCACAGGCAGCAGCGAGAGCAAGGCTGCTGCACAAGGGAGGACAGGCCTGGAGCTGGGACTGACCACGGCACAGGCACTAACCTCACCAGCCTGAGCACAGCACAGGGAGCAGGGCCCAGTGATGAGCACAGCAACATAAAGCAGTAAGCCCGGTGTGGAGCTTGCTCATGCAGTCTGCTTAGGAGATAGGCTGCACCGAGGATCCATCCAGAAAACAAGGCCAGAGACAGAGCTGACAGCACAGCCACCTGCTGCAATAGCTCAAGCAGGGGCTGAACATCCAGACCTGAGCTTAAACACAGTCCTGATCCATGGGCAGTGTGCAGGTCCCTGGTGAAGCTGGTCAGGGCATTAAGACCTGGTGGTGCCCTCAGGGCCCTGCCAGATTCGTGCTGTTGGGGTGGGTGAACATGTACTCTTCAAAGAGACTGAGATTTAGCACCCTCTGTCCCATCTAGTCATGAAGGATTGAATCCAGCTCACTGATGTCCTCAGGCTGGTGGTCTGAAGGGAGGTTGGTGAGGAGTGTTTCTGCAGCCATACTTTAAAAGACTGATCCTGTGGGTACATTTTTAAAAGGGACACTTCCAGGCAGGGGGAGCAAACTGTAATCCCTCAGTGAGGTACTCAGTAACACCTGCTACTAGCTAGTTTAAGCAGCTTTGTGGGCTACACCTACAGATTTTTTGGATCTTAGCCAAAGGTCCATAGGCATCTCACTAAGGGTCTCTGAGAGACACGTATTCAACAGTCAGGCACCCAGTGCTGAGTGTGGTAGTACGTGAACATCTTTTCTGATCTGGCCTTGAGACCAAACTCTCCGTAGCTGATTATTTGTATGTTCCTCATTTTCTGGAAAATAATAACAAAAATCTGTCTTCTTGTTTTCATTAGTATTAAGCTACAGCTGGATGTAGCGGGATTTGTGGACGCTTTACACCTGAGAAAAATCTCCAGTGGGTACATAAATCCTAGTTTTGATGCACTGCATCTGTTTATCAAAAGTCTGTCCAGGAAAATGGAAATAATAAAAACCTTTTATTTAAATTAGGGTTTTAAAAGTAAATACATAAGTCTTATCAAGCCGTTAGATTCCATGGTAATTACTGAGGCTGAAAAGCCCATCGCAAAAAAATGTCTCTGTAATTAAAAGCAAGTTTTGTCATGTCCTCTCTGTGTATTTTTAAGGGCTATGAACATGGACAGTAGAAAGGAATCAGTTGAACTTTCTCTTTCCTTAAGCTGTACCTCCAGAGCACTGAATAATGTATATTAAGATTTGTACAGTTAATTAAAAATCCCACCATATGGCCAAGGGCAGATAAATTAAGTTTCATCAAGTCTCAGTTTTGGCATTTCGTTCTTCTTAGTGCTTGAGTTTGCACCCTCACTGAAGCTCTTTCTTTGTTGCTCATGGGCTTATTTACATTGGGCACGTCTCAAGAGTAGCATCAGGAATTTACACCAGTCACAACTCTCTGCTGCAACCCCATGTCTCACTGTGCATGAAATGGGCAACTTTCAACTAGTTTCTGTGGATGAAATAAAAAAAAAAAAAAAAAAAAAAAGCAAACAAGCCCTCCTGCTGGGCTAGGTGTGCACTCAAATCAGTAAGGTACCAGGTATGTCTTATGTGGTTCAAGCTATGGCAGCCTGGTGGAAAAAGTATCACTCACAGAGTTGAAGCTGCTAGACTGCTGGGGTGTGTGCTGTATTGGGATGTGTGGTGATACACTACCATGTGCAGCTGGACACAAGAAGACCGGTTTGCTACTGCTGCACGTCTTATTATTAGATTCTCTGATGTCTTATACGGTGCGTGTTATAAATGACACATTTCCTGAATTTAAAACATTTGTAATGTTCCTCTTCTATGCAGGCTGAGTGTAATAAAGGCTTTACTGCCAGCTATCCCTGCGTGCAGGCAATAACAGGAAGTCTTTCCTGTACTTGGCTTATCTGTCTTTATGAAATCTGTGGGAAAGTAGTTGTTTCTGAGATCTCTGCTTCTTTTTGGGGCTTGATTAAAATCAGCTAACACGTTCCAGAATTTGTAAGGATTGATGCATACAGCCCTGCTGATTTTCTTTTTTCCTTTAAGAAACCAGACAAAAATACATGCGCATAGGTTAATATATGCTAACAGTTTATTTAAGTATTGAAAACAAAAATAAAAAGTACTGATATAATGCACAGTTGTAATGTAAAAGTCCTAACACAGATGCAGGTGTATCAATATAAATATGCCAATGTGGGATGGCAGTGAAAATCGCACAGTTCCAGCCCAAGTAACTAGATTTACTGGGCAAGATTTTCTACCTCAGCTATACAGTAGATCCTCTGCCTTCACAGGAAAACAAAACAAAAACAAACACAAAAACTCACTTCCTTACACAGAAGCTGCACAGTACCCGTAAATGGAAATCCTGATAAAACTAAATCCTGAGCCACAATTAAGTTTAGAATAGATTCATTCCTTAATTGAATATGCATTAGCAAGAGAGCCGTGTTAGATGCATTACAAAAATTTTAGCTCCATACTGTCAAACTTGACCCTGTGCAAAGGCTAGTACATGGAGAAAGACTACTGGCAGAGCTGTGAAAAAAAGGAGTCAATCATTTTAAATCAATACCATTCCGCTAACAAATACCAAGGATCATATCATATGAAAAGTTTTCAGAATTATCCTTTACAAAATTAGATTTGATATTTTCCCAGCTACTGACATCCACAAAATAAGCACTCCTCACACACACGCAAGTAGACTTTCCATGACTGTTTTAAGCACCCATTATGACGCTACCTATAAGGAGAGGAAGGACCTTTGTTTCTTTCTCCACACACATCTAATATGAAATACTATAGATTTTTTTACACTCTTTCTTAAAGATGACTTCTGTGTGGACCACTTCAGGCCCAAAACTGTTGGCTCAGATGACTGGCTTTAGAGTATCTTTAGAGTATCTGTGTACGCAAATGAAAGAGCAGAATTTTTTCAGACAGTCTGCAAAACTACATGCACAGGAGGTGAACTTAAATCTTAGGCAGAAAAGTACAAATATCCCAAATCCATTAGTGTAAGAACTGAAGTCAAACATACACAGCAGGGTGGTGTTGCCAACTAAATGGCAAGCTCTGCCTGGAGAGCAAGGCTGCCATTTTCTCTGCCAAGGCACGGTACAGACTGTTTTACTAACATTGATCTTGATTGATTTTATTTGTATTACAATATAAACTTATAATGATGGTTCACGCTGTACACACACACACACATAAACACCACTGTGGCAAGAGGAAATCTTGCAGGCCTGTTCAAACATGGTTCAGAGAGTAACAAAAGTGTGAGGGCTTCAATGGCACCTTGGACATGCAGAGATGCCAACATCTCCTACTGTCATGGTCACGGGTATGGGGCGTGTGTGTGAAATTTGTCTAAGATCTTGAAGGAAAGATCACTTTGGAGCTGCAAAGTAAATGATGTTTAGTGGGTACTCAGGAAACCACCACTCTTCCAGAAGCAGACAGAAGAAACAGTGTAGAATAAAATCCTAGTCTGTATGGCTTGGAAGCTGGAGTCGCTCCGACTGTAATAACAAATGCTGCTTATGTACAACACTGTTTACATCAAGTTTACCAGGGAAGAGGCAGGCTGGCTGCTCTCCAGGTCTTCAAGGGCAGTACCTAATCTGCATACATAGCTACACAGGCTTTAACAATCAGAAACAAATCCACACGGCCATTTTTTTTTTTTTTTTTGCTTGTACATTTCCGTACCTAAAAGAGGAAATTATTTCAGTGAAATAATTCCATAATAATTTTAATTGAAATAATAGCTGAAGACAAGGCTACTTTATATTTCAATAGTGTGTAGAGATGGGCTGTGTGAGACTGCCACTTGAAACTTTTGCACACTTACAGAAAAGGACAATCCCTGCAATCAGTAGATGCTGCTTGATCTAGTTTGTAGTGAACTCTGTAGCAGTGTCCTCTATCTGTGGATGGCTGCATGCTCACCCTGCCCATAAAAACAGAAGCTGTAAGCCACTTAAAGAATTCGTCTTCGTTCTGCCAAGGAGCAATGCTAGCTCTATTGCCAAATTTAAACTGAAGCTAGCATTTGATTATCTCTTTGTCATCCAAGTACACAGAAGTGGAAAGGTCGTTAAAAAAAAAAAAAAATCTTTTAACAAGTGGCAGGCAGAATACTAATCCTTACGTGATGCTCACTGACTAACATGCCCACAGCAGTGCCTCTCACCGACCCTGCACCATGTTTGCCATAGTGGAAGTACAGGGCACGACACAACTCTTGTCTTGATCAGCTGTTGCAGTCTCTATCCAATGTTTTCTTATCGTGCTACCTTTCTAAAGATTGCCCTATCTGAAGGGAACATCAAGGAGCTCTATAGTTCCCAAAGAAAATTGTGGGTTAAACCCTAGTTAGGTGGCAGGAAATATCCACTGTGCAGCAGTCTTTACCTGAGTGGTGTGTATATATATATACACACATGTGTATATATATATACACACCACTCAGGTATGTATATATACATATATATATATATTATTTCTGTGCAGTTGGATGTATTTGAAGAACTGATTTCTGCCAAATTTTATTCTGCATAACTTAATGGAACTCAGTAATTATTCATAAAACCCCCACACTTTAGAGACAGTCTGAGAAGAATGGTTATTGAAGATTTGAGGACTAAATTTAGTGGTGCACCTTATAAACTAAGGTACTGAGTGAGAGCAAAGCTGACCCCTGAAAAATGGAGATAACTGACATTCAGTGCTGTTGATTTTTTTTTTTTAAATGAGCCAGTGGTTGAGGAAATAGACTTTTATATAAAAAGACATTAGCTAAAAGCTAAATGGGTAAAAGCTGAATGCTTACAGTTCTTGTAAATGTCTGTTATGCACATTAAGGAATGAAAAAAGTGGGGACAAGATCTTTGATACCAAACTGCAGAAACAGATTGCAAAAGAAATGCAGAGACAAACAGCATTAGAAGCCCAGGGTTAGAGAAAAGGGGGTAAAAGACTCTGAAAAGGTTTTGTATTGATTTTGCTTCAGACTGCCAAATACCTGTGATACCTTTGAAAAAATATAGCATGCTATACACTTAGACTGCCTTATCCTGCTAAATGCAGCAAATCTGTGTGTCTTGTGTGACATGTATATGGGGCACTACTTTCCCTCTATTTTCCTCCAGTTAATCTTTCTACCCCTCTGAAGCTGTGGTTTTTGGAACTTACACATTTCCAGTGTCACATCAGGAGACAAGTCTCCTACCTCGACACTTTAGTCCTTTGTTTTTTATGATTTGGCCTGATTTTGCTCTCAGCAGCATTTCATTGATTTCAGCAGACACGCACACTGTGACACACTCCTGAGCTGAATCTTGCATAAGGATGCTGTAAGAAAAATACTAAGTTATAGAGAAAAGGTACATAGTTCTTGAATACAAAATGCTTAAAGGAGCATGGAAAACATTAAAAAAAAAAATAATTGTTTTTACATAATATAACTGGAAATCTCAGTAAGGCATCTGATTACCCCTTGGCAAGAATCACTCCAAACAAAACAGAGCCAGGAAATGGAAAGCAGGCTGGACACCTGTGAGAAAAATGAAAGAGTAGTTCTCAGGAGCCCTGGCCTAATAGTGCTAGGGCTATTTAAGACACCACGGTGCTCTTCAGACAGGCTGTAAGGACAAGAAAACACTATTGAAAGAGTGATGCTATACTTTCTGAAGCTGAATTGGCTCAATGTGGAAGTTTTCTGGGTGCCTTGCTGGCATCTACTAATCATGTACCTTTGAATCCTTAGCTGTAAAACTTTACGGGTTTGGTTCCTATTCCATACCATGCCGTGCTGGCCTGCAGCCTGTGCACAGGGCAAAGCTTAAAACTACTTGCCAGGGATGTAAGAAAGGCATGTAATGTAGGGATAGGATACTTTTGTACAGGGGCAAACTGATAGCACAACTTGTCCCCTTCCAAGACACTGCCAGCCAGTGGCAGAGCCTCTCCACGACCACTGCAAGAGCAAAAAGATCATGCTATTTGTATGAGTTTGCTTTGGCCTTCAACTGCCCCTGTGTGCTGTCTGAATTTTTGTCTGTCTCGGTGTTAAGTGTGGCCTCCAGCACAAACCACAGAGATGCCCCAGCACTGCTGCAGAATAAGGCCCCTGATTCTCCATGTGCACTAAAATCAGCCCTTCTGCTGTTGTTTCATAGCACAAAATGCTCCCCCACGGATCTTCCTCCCCTCAGTTCTTTGACTGTGAAAAGCTCAGGGTCTGTGGATAGCTCGGGACGTGCCAACAGGGTGTGGAGCTAGTCAGCAGGCCGAATCCAGCATGGGGTGGTGGTGAATTAAAGGCTGTTTATTCAGATGATTCCTTTGTGGTCTACATGAAATTGCACTTGTGAATTTGCAATCGCAATCCACTTCCTCTGGAAAAATCACTGCAATTGATAGTAATTAGCAACCTCTTACAAAGCTCTGGCAGGCTGTCCTGAAACCAATCCTCAAGTTCTCTGGGCATGGCACTGCCTGAGGCAGCTGGTCCCTTGTCACCATTTAATACATTCCTCAGGCCTGAGACAAAGGCCCCACTCCAAATACCTGTCCAGTGGGAAACTGTGCTAAGTGACCTGATGGCTAAATGCCCAAATGGCTCAGCCAGAAATCGGGCAATTCTCCCACTCGGCCTGGAGGCACAAACCTCTGGGAGATGGCCATCTAAGCCCAGCCTTCCTGCTGGCTGGTAGCAGTACTAAGGCAGTACCTTTGAATAGTTGCTGAGCCAGACCTCACGAGAGGTTTGCCTGCTTCACAGATGGGACTCAAACACCCATGACCTTATGTCAGACGGGTCTCACAACCGCAAGTTTAGATAATCCCTCCTGGAAATCATTACATGTGGTCCGCAGAGTGGACTGTTTTCTGGGAAATACTGACTCTAACCCAGTATTGGAATTTGACTAAGTACGAGCTTTTGTTAGAAGAAGGAATAAAAAGGTCTTTAAAAACATCAACAAAGTGGTTTTATAGAAAGTACAGAAGGAAATACAAAGTGCCAAAGCTGAATGCAGCATGTCAGATACTTTTCCTATGCCATATTCAGAACTGATTGGGCCAAAGGACATGGGTTGCTGCTAAAACACACCTCTTACGCTGTAGGCTATCCTCAATGTAATCCTACTACCAGTGTCATTTACCACATGAGTTCAGGTACCTACAGCCTCAAGTCACCGAACGTTAGCAAAAGGCTTTTTGTGCACACATGGCCTGGTGAGCCTATTTCCTGGAAATGCCAGCTCAGACCCAGCCCTTTGGTGCAGCAACAGGTTTAACACAACTGTTTTCAAAGCGATTTCACACTGACTTATTCATATTCTCCATTCCACTAGCAACGTTATTAACCCTATAACCTGCCCTTTCCCCCTCAGTCTGAATAACACAGCCAATGTCATTTCCTACCCACCAACCACCAGCAGATGACTAAGAGTCACCAATCCAGGAAACTGAGAGCTCTGGGATCTGTTACCTGGCAATTGAAGCACAAAACAGTCTACATAAACACCCCGAGTGTATGGCTTTTCACACTTTCTTTGAACCACTGGTGTCCTAAGTCTTATCATTACCATCAACACAGCCTGCTGCCTTCAAGGCACAGTAGCCATAACGGTAGCATGAATCAGAATTAGCTACGCTAACTGCAGTAAATCGACAGCACTGAGCAATCCCATTTCATTAATATCAGCATCTCATCACCAGTTGCTCCTTGGAGACAGATGGCTGCAGCTGACTCCCAAAGCTTTGCTTTCTCTTCCCACCCACAATGAGTTGAAGCATTTGAGACATCAGTGACCGAGTAGTCTGAGTTTGTTTGTACACTGAAAATGTCCTCTTCTGTCCTGTTGCCGTCTTTTCCCATCTACTTTTCTTAATAAGGGTAAAAATAAATAAATAAATAAATAAATAAATAAATAAATAGATAGATAGATAAATAAATAAATAAATAAATAAAGGTGTTTTCAACTTTCAGCACAAATAAAAGAATTCCTAAACCCATGGCTGAAAAATCTTCTTCTTAACAAGAGCACCATTAAATGATCTGCATTGGCCACTATGATACTGGCATGACAACTAAAAAAATAAATGGTGGAGGGAAATCTTTCTACCTGGTGAGTAGAAAATGTATTTTTTTTTCCCTGTCTTAATTCAAATACCATACTTAGGCAAAGAAATGCACATAGAAAATAAATCCTCTGCATTGTAAAACAACTGCAGCCCTAGTTGGACCCTGCATCCTGCACTGAGTTGTGCTACAGGAACCTCCCCAAAATCCATTTGAAATTAGTTAATCTCCTGTGAAGACAAGGGGATATGCCAGCACTCCGTTTTGTGCAGGGTAAGTGTCTTATAGCCAGTCACATACATACCAAGACATACGGAGTTTCAAACAGCAGAGCACTGCATATGCAGGGACCTCCATGGTGTGGAAACAAGTGAGTTTTGCACAACCCTTCTGTAAAGGCTTATGCCAAGAGCAGTATGCTTTATCCAACAGCCAAAAGAGGTTCCTGGGCTTCTGTGCTGAATCACTGTACATCACAGCTGGAGGGGTCCAACATCCTCCATAGGATTTTGTGGATTTTTCCATCAAGTTCCAGTTCTTCTCTTAGTGGAACAGGACCTTGTGAGAGTCTGATGCACCCCCAAGATGCATCCAGCTTGCTCCAGACTGCTGCTCTGTACACTACACTAGGGCTCACAACAGTGGATGGAGGGAGGAAATACCAGCCACTTGGGCTGCACCATGAACAGTCTTCTTTTGCTGTAACTCTGGGCAATACGAGGCACAATGCGGCTTTGTAGGAACGGCTAATATATTATTAATGCTCCACAGCTAAATGGTGGAAAGCAGTGACAGGCCTGGGCAACAGAAGTTGTTTAATTTTGTAAACTGTATTTTATTATAAATGTGTTCAGAAATCTAAAAAGCCATTTCTGAACTAAGAAATGAAGACAAACAGATAACATGCATTTTCCCACCAAAAAAAAAAAAAAAGTAGCTCTTGAGAACCTTCTTTAGAAAAAAAAATTTCACTTAAAGCAATTCTAGTTAATTCTTTTTTCTTCTTCTTCTTTCAGTTTCTCATATCCTAAAATTGTGCCTAGAAACTGGTTATTAAGACTGTATTTTTGGAAGCATGGCCATCCGTACTTTTAAAGTAATTTAGAGCAAATTACTTTATATTAGATGTTAGCAGCAAACGGGAGCCAGCACAGCACAGTAATGGCAGAGGGAGTGGGTTAGTAGAGAGCAAATGCTCATGAGGGAAAATACAGAAGGGAAAAACTTCCTTGACTTCAAACATTGGCACTAATGATCACCTCACACTACAGTGTCTAGCACTCAAGCTGATAAAAATAGAGTTATTAAGAAGATCCTTAAGTGTTTATGGACCAGTTGATTGCATCGTCTTAATTAGGCATGAGTTGAATTCCTTAACGTTGCATTCAGCCCACTACCTGAGTGACTGCAAATCACTTTGGGGAAGGTCGTGGCTGCTCTGCTTGAGGGTGATGTGAGGGCAGGCGTCGATGGGTCGGACCTGCAGCTCTACGGGGAAGAAGATGCACCCTGTCCTGACATGCACCTGGTCAGTACAGCGTACAGGAAACCTTGCCTTCTGCTAGCTAAACATTTACCAGGGCATGAACTATGAACTACGAACAATTTTGGGGTTAGCTGCTGTAAACCTGACAGCTCCATGGATTTCCAAAGCACCAGGTACTGATTTATACCAGAGGAGACTGTGGACCCTTGACTGTACTCTACCAACTTAATTAAGGGTCTTTTTATCAGACAGACTCAGGAAAACCTTGCAGGGACACTTTCAGATGTTATTGGTCTCCTGGCTATCTCTCCTGCCCTCTTGGGTTTGCAGATCCTCTAGGAGAGGCAGGAACAACATGTGTCTGTGTCTTAACTGCCCCAAAGCATAGCACAAGGTTTCAACAAAATCACCCCAGAGGCAAACTGTTCAGTGCTCACTGCTCTTGGGGATGAAGTGAGTAACAGAAGAAGGGCAGGGTGCATGGACAGGCATGGTAGTGTCTTCAGCCACCTCAGAAATATTCCTTAGAGCATGTTGGCCAGTGTCCTCACTGCAATCAGACCTGCACAGAGAGGTAAGGTAGACACAGTGACTGCTTCCCATCCACTCTCCTGAAGAGGGAAGGAGTAAAAAGAGGCAACAGAACTTGAAATGACTCTGAATAGCAAGTAGTGCTTACAGCACGAGATGACACAATTCCTAGGGCTAGTAAGTGCTTTGATACACTGCTTCAGTTGACATTCATATGCTACACACAAACAGTAAAAGGTACAGTATAAGGTCAAATAAAGATGCAAATGCCAGAATGAAAGCAGCCTGTGCAAACTTAATGCCTTCTTATATGGTTACTTCTCTTAGGTTACTTACATGTTTCCAAGGTTTCAGTTTCTATGGCCAGCCCCTTCCCTTTTTCAGAGTACAGCACAAGCAGGCCTCATTTACTGAGAAATTATTCAAAATTGGCTTTTCTTCAGTGTGTGGCAACAACACAATCTGCATGGTGTTTAAACCCTCGTGGGCACTTTAATGGTACTGGCTCTTTCAGTATCCACATTTATTTTCACAGCTCATCTGCAAAGTGAAGCCAAGAGCATGAATCAGATTCTACCACCCTTACTCTAGTCAGTGAGTAGCTTCCTTCATGATTGCTGGTGCTGCTCTTCAGAAAAAGGGAAGAAAATTCGGGGCCCTTTTAGAGCTGGTGTGTTTGTGCACCTCCTCCAAATGGCCTCCGTGCACCAGAAAGGTATGTGGGCAGGTGATACTCATCATCTGTGATGAGTTGTGTTCTCATCAGAGAAATATAAATTAACTTAACTACAAGTTCATACAAAGAATCTGAATTGTCAGCTAGAGAAGGATGTGTCATTAAATCCAGATTTTGCACATGGAGTTTTCCCATTACCTTATGTACAGTTTCTAGTCACATAAGTCCTCATACACAGCCTCTTTCAGTAATGATGCAAGGCACTCTCGGCCAGCAGAGATTGAAGTGTGCAGACATAGCCTGAAAACAGAGACAGAGGAAAGAGGATGAAATTGTCATTATCATCCTACTTAACAACTTCCTCTGTACTACAAAACAGGACATCTGATAACCCAGCCATTTACGTGTACAGGGTGAAAACACTGTCATTTAGATATAGTAGCTATTATTGTTAACAATGAAAGCTGTGGAGTCAGGATGTAAGAGACAGTAACACCGAAAGGAAAGAGCATGCCTAACGCTCACCTTCAGAGCAAAACTCTTCCAATTATAAATAACCCAAGAAAATTTATTTTTCAAATTGAAATTTCCTATCAGTGCTTGCACTTTGAGAAAAAAAATCTTGGAAGAATTATAAGGTGCTTGCTTTGTTTGTTTGCTTAAGATAATAAGAAGTAAAAACTGAAACAAAACCACCCATTAGGGTTGTTTTCTTTTTCTCCTACTAAATGAGTAATGTTGAATAATATTTGGAGCAACTGTTGCTCCGCAGAAGCTTACTACAGAAGGAGATATTTGTCACAGAGGAATTCTGCCAGAGTTCTGCAAGAACATGCTAATGGGTTTTGCTCTGGGCCAGACATGTAGCCAGAGGCCAGGGATGATGTATATCACAGTGGTTCTGACTTCCCATGTTGGCTAACGTATTCATAGCAAACTGAATTTATCGATGCAAAGACTACTTTTGAATGAGTCCTGTTCAAAGTGTTGGTGGTAGGCTTATGGTATCACTGTTTCTGAAGTCTGCAATGCAAAAGTTCATGGTGTCTGTAATTGGGAAGTAATGATGGCATAAGGTTGTGTATTAAAAGCTTGTTTTTCCTTTCTTAGTGGGAAATGAATGAACATGAATGAACTGCACAGGCTTTATAGCTACATGAGAACATTTATTAAGTTTTCTCTCAGAGTATGAAATTCTCAGGGTCTCCAGAAACATTAAGGCTTATTTTGGAGAAATGGTGTCTGATGAGGCATGGCTCTCTGCAGAGCGGAAGCCCTAAGGCCACTTACCCAGTGGTGCTGACATCTGCTGCTGGGTTTTCCACTAAGCAGTTTCCTAAATTGTTATGTGTGTATTTGAAACCCACATTAAATATGCCTGTATTTTCTGTCCATGAAGTATTCATTTTTGTTCTCTTATGAAAAAAAATCCTGTAAGAAGCTTGAGATTTTTTTTTTTAATTTTATTTATTACAGAAAGAAATGACAGCTCTCTAGATGCTGTAGAGTAGTACATGTTCCAAGACATATATATAGGAGATAAAACCAAAAGTGCTGTGTGGGATAGCTTCTTAATATTCTACTGAATGTCCCTAGAATGCAATTTATTTAGTTGCTATTAGGTAGTAGTTCTAGGGAAAATATTCAAAATATGCTTTAGTGGCAGAGAGACAAAATCACATTTAAGCTTCAGGTTTCTTAGATTCTGCAATAAAGAGTGAAATTAGCTCTTTAAAAATGTGTGTCCCATTTGTATTTAAAAAAGTTATTATCTAGGAATATAGTTTATATTCTGCCAATCACCATAGTACATTACTTCAATAAAAAAAGAAGCAAAAAGTGTTTTTAAAAATCCCCATGAACGAAGTGGGAGAATATAAGGATGTGATTATCTAGCATTATCTTAAACACTGGCACTTACTAATAAACAGATATTATAATCCCCTCTGGAAAATTCTTGCAATTCCTTCCTTGCCAACAAATACGGTCCAGCATGGAACGTGGCAGACTGAAGACCAAGATCGCTGAAAACCATCTCCATGTCTTCCTCCTCTCACCTTTTCTCTGGGTGCTACATGCTTGGAAGCTGTATGAAGCGAGGACGTTGGTCCCATGATCTGTACAGCATCAGGCTACTGCAACAGAAACAAATTGGGCTGCAATCGGCTGTGATAAATGCCCTCTATTAGCGACATGGGAGTTGTGCTGCCTGTGTCCTAGTGATCTTTAAATAGTAGCCGAAAGCAGGCTGCCTGCAGCTGATGCCATCCCACCAGTGTGAGATATTTAACTGAGATACCCGAGCTGGGAGTGCGGTTGCTCCAAACTTCATTAGCAGTCAGGGGAGACACAGGGAGACATGTGGTGAAACTGAATCAGATCATTTTGGCAATTTTCATCACTGATGTATTTTAATTAAGTATTTTAATTAACACCAACCTCATTCTCCCCATTAGTTGGTAAAAACAACACCCCCATGACAACACAGAGTAATGCCCAGCTTTTGAGTTGGAATCCTACAAACTTCATGCTGCCTGTAAAAGCCCCAAAAGAGAGAGCAGGGAGAAGCAAATCCATTTATCACAGCTACCTATCCAAATGTATCCAATTCTTCTTCCCTTAAGTTAATAGGGAACTTCTGGTCTCAATTTAAAGTGGGAATTAAGACTGAAGACTGGATGCTTAATGTTTTGTGTAGCCATCATTTAACGACAAAACAAGGCTGTTTAGCCTCCTTTGCTTCATCTCTCTGACTTTTCTCTGAATCTCTGTATTCCCCAATAGTTTGGATGAGAATTTAATGTAGCTACCTAGTTTTTCGTTTGTTTGTTTGCTTTTTTTTTTTTTTTTTTTTTTTTTTTTTCCTAGCTTCCTTGTCTGAATCTGTTTGTGCAGCTGTCAGTCCTCCTGCAGAAGCTCTTCAATGTTAGCCAATTTCAACCAGGTTTGACCACGACAAAAAGATCCTGAAGATGCTACATTTATAAAAAACAGACTGCCAGTCAGGCAGAAACCCTGTTCATAGCCCTACTGAGGAAAAACCTTCATCGTTAGATCAATCCTTGTTAGGCACTGGAGCACCTGGGGAGGCCAAGGGAGGAGGTAATTTATGCTGCTGTCAGCACATGTTCAGCAGTAACCTTGTTGTACTGTGTCTGGCTAGGATGGAGTTAATTTTCTTCATAGCAGCCTGAATGATGCTGTGTTTTGCATTCATGCCTAAAACAGTGTTGATAGCACAGCAGTGCCTTGGCTGTCACTGAACAGTGCTTGCAGAGTGCTGGGGCTTTCTCTGCTTTTCTGCAGCCCAGCAAATAGGCTGGGTGTGAGCAAGGGGCTGGGAGGGAACACCGTGGGGACAGCTGACCTGAACTGACCAAAGGGATACTCCATGCCATATCACGTCATGCTCAGCATCGAAAACTGGGAGGTTTTCTTTCTAAAGTAGCTGTTGCTTGGAGACTGACTGGGCATTGGTCTGATTGTGGGAGGTGGTGAGTGATTGCTTTTAGATCACTGTTTTTTTTTTTCTTTCTCTTTCCTTACAGTTATTAAACTATCTTTATCTCAACACTTTTTTTTTTTTTTTTTTTTTTAATTCACTGGTCAGGATCAACCCACCACATTCATCTACATCTACATGAGATCTACTGATAGAAATACAGATAAACCTGCAGGATAAGGAACTGAAACATTTCACAAACAAATAAGTTACCAAACTGGAATTATTCAAACCCAACAAGCTATCAGATTCTTTGAGTATAGCAGTTTTACAGTACTGTAAAGTAGTTTAAAAAAAAAAAAAAAAAAAAAAAACACAAAGATTTGTAGCCTTTGGAAAAAAAATATTACAAAATATACAAACATGTTCAAGGGTGATTACCAAAGGATGTTCCTATAGTTTCTCAATGTGCATGCATTCTATGATACACAGCAGTGGACAGCTAGCATTGTATAAATGCAGAAAATGAGCAAGATAATCAGAAAAAAGTGTAGAGACCTGGTAAATTGGAAGTACATCTCTTAGAAACAAGGCAAGGAAGGCTTTGGGAGATGTACACCATCACAGGATGATTTTGAAGTGCCAGTGTGATGTGTCTGTGAAGAGCATGCTGTGATCCTGGCCCTTGTCAGAAATGTCTCCAGCAGAGCCATAGTGGCGTGAAGGCCATGGTGAGACCATGCATGGCCATATGCAGAATTCTGTCACTCATACTTGAAAAAAATAACTTGATTATAGGATGGTTAGAGAAATGGTGAACCAAGCTTTTGAGCTCGGCCTACTTAGCCTAAGAAAACAAATGGATACTCCACAGAGAAGGGAGGGAGTAGGAAACACAAATGGGGAAAAGAAAACTTCAAACTTACAAATCATATTGTTAAAAAAAATAATTAAACTAGCCATTAATTTATTGGAATGAAGGCATTTCTCACCATTTGTGGCTGGAATCAGGTTCCAGAATTGCCTTGCAATGAAAGTAAATGAGACTGGAAAAAAAAAAAATTGTTTGCAAGAGCACTCTGCAAGGCCTCTTGCATCGCAAGGGGCCTGTGGTAGCAGGCTGGACACAGCAAACTAACAAGACCTTTCTGCTCCTGATACTTTAATATCATGAGAGGGTAAAAAATTATGTGGCATAAGTATCAGGAAAGCCTCCTGGCAGGGAGGTTTCTCTGTTAATGCCATTGACTAGCAAAGGAAGCTGTTGGATCTGAGACAATGACTGCATTAATAAGAAGAGCTTCTGGATCTCTCTCCCTTTCTGCAAGCAGATAAATAATTGATCAAACAGTCCTCAAAGTTCAAAATTTCATTTGGGAGTAGGCCAAGTAAAGCCCATGGGAGAATAAGGCTGTAGGAACATGTATGGAGGGACCTCGTAAGATCCCCTTAAAAACATCAAGACCCATGTACCTCATGTGCTCTCTTCCACAGTGGAGTGAAGGCAATAAGAAAACACGTTTTTCTT